GGAGCCAGGTGGTAGCAGTGAAGCCTATCTGCTGGATCGTGTGACAGTGGCCCTGCAGGGCATGTGGTCTCCGTGGAGCGTCTGCCTGCCCCGCTGGACGTCTCTCCATTCCATATGCACTTGATGTTATTTTTTTTTTTTTTTCCCCTTTTTGTCTTTTTTCGTGACCGGCAACGGACCGCAACCCTCAGTGTCGCGCCCGTACCGGACCGGCAATGGGATCGCAACCCTCGGTGTTGCACCCGCACCTCATTCAGCCAGTGAGCAGCCGGTCTGTATGTGGGATCCGAACCCTTGGCGGGAGCGCCGCCACGCTCCCAAGTGGCGCACTGTAGCAGTGCGCCACCAGGCCGGCCCCGATGTTATGTTTTTATAGTTGTAAATCGGTTGATTTGTGGGAGAGAGTGATGCTAGGGACTGTCTATTCTGCCATCTTGACTGGAAGTCTGCACTTTCTGCTTCTTCAGCGCTGCTGCGTCCAGCCAGACGCTGCAGGCCTCCTTGTCCTGGCCTCTCCACCTCATGGCTGCTGAAGAGACCGAGCGAACAGGACACTGGAACCAGGCTCTGGACGCCTCAGGGCACTGTCATAACCGCCTCCGCCAAGATTCAGATCTCGCGCCAATGCCGGGGGCGGAGCTACACCCAAATTGTACTTATTCTTTATGCCCCTTGTCCAATCTCTCCCTATCCCTCTCACCCCTCCCCCTCCCACCTCTAATTACCCTAGATTTCTTCTCTCCTCCTGAAAGAGTAATGTTTACTCTTGATTTGTTGCCTAGATGATCTGTCCAATGCTGAGAGGTGTATTCAGGTCCCCCAATATTATCGTAGAGCAGATGCTTCTTCTGTCACTCTGGAATGGGCTTGTGGAGAGAAACATCCTCTTCTCTTCTTTGGTCTCTGCTGGTGACTCTCCTTGTGTCAATGCATTCCAGTGGCTGGCAGACCATCTGCATGGTGGTTTTGGCATCTTGCTGCTTTTGCAGCACCCGTGGTTGGTGTGGTGGCTGTGGTGGGCCACCCACATGGAGGTGATGTTTTTGACATGCTCCTTAGTGCTGGCAGTGTGCCTGGTTGTGTGGATGGGTCTGGTCCCTGGTTCCATGCCTCAGGTCCCTGGGCAGGCCCCAAGGTGCTGGCACTGTGCCTGGTTGTGAGAGGGGGGATCCAGTCCCTGGCTCCAAGCCTCGGGACTCTGGGTGAGCCCCGAGGCCCTGGTGGTGTTCCTGGGCTGGAACTAATTTTTTGTTCTTTACTTCTAAAATGGGGGAGCTTTCTTTGGGGGCCAGTACTTGAACTGGGTGGTTTAGCTAAATTGCTGCTTTGCTGCTGATTCCCTCGAGAAGGCTTTTTGTGCAGCTCAGTTTTTAATGGTTGACTTTATAGGTTCTTCCAGCTCTCCAGAGACCCAGTGCACCTGGTTTGTGTAGAAACTCTGATCTGGGCCTGAGTCTTTTCGTCTAACTGCACCCTATACAATTCTATATTCCTGACCAGTCTCCTCTGAGTGGTCCTTCACTGATAGGGGTGCAGGTCAGCTGTCCTTGCTGTGCCCCAGTGTCCCCCCAGTGGGCCCATCTCCCGTACTGCCCATGCTCCAAACACTTGCCATGGGACAGGCTGTGGGCCGGTCCCTTGCGATGACTCGCTGGCCTCTGAGTAGCTCCTTTTTTTTCAGTTGTTGTGGCTCCTCCTATGTGGGTCCACGGGAACGCTATCAGTGGTCTTGCTGTCCTGGGGGCCACCAAGACTCTCTTCTCCCCTGCCACCTCCAAGCAACTTCATCCAAAGGGCACAGCTTCGGCTTTTGCCAGCTCCTGCTACCAGTTCCTGCTCCATGTGCTCAGCAGCTCCAGCCTTAAAATGGCCACAGCATGAAATGGTCAGAGTGGTTTTTTCTTTCTCTCATCATGGCTTCTTCCATGTTCGTGCACTCTGTAGGTCTCTCCTCCTCTTCCCCTGAGCTCTAGCAGACCCAGCTTGACTGTTGTTGCTTTTCTATAGTCGTAAATTGGTTGATTTGTGGGAGAGAGTGACACTGGGGACTGTCTATTCCTCCATCTTGACCTGCTTTGTCTTTATAGAGATACAAACTGTTTCCTTTTGCTGAACTGTTTGAGAGTAAATTACAGACACTGATAATTTACCCTTAAATACTTCAACAGGTGTCTCCTAAGAACAAGGACATTTGCATAATCTCAATATAATTTTCATCCTCAGGAAGTTTAACATTAATACAATTCTAGTTAATGTACAATTTTGTACTAATATGCAATATAATACTAGTTAATATCAATTTATCATAGATATAATACTATCTAAACGCAGTCTATTTTCAGATTTCCCCAGTTGTCTAAATAATATCCTTTTTAGATGTTTTGTTTTTGCTTTTTTTTTGTCTTTTCCGTGACCGGTAAGGGAATCGCAACCCTCGGCCTGGTGTCTGCACCGCGTTCAGCCAGTGAGCGCACCGGCCACTCCCATATAGGATCCGAACCCGCGGCGAGAGCGTCGCTGCACTCCCAGTGCCGCACTCTCCAGAGTGCGCCACAGGGCCGGCCCTTGTTTTTGCTTTTTAATCCAGAGTCCAGTCAAAGATCACACATTGCATTTAATAATAATGTTTCTTATTCCTTTTGAATGTAGTTCTCTTTATTTCCTTCTGGAGGTTTTTTAGCATCTTTTTATCCTTGGAATTCTGAAATTTTGTAACAGTATGCCTTATTGTAGGACTTGATTCATTCATTTGGGGACAGAGGTTCTTCTTTCAATTTGGAAATTAATGTTCTATAGTTTTACAAAATCTGACAGTGTTATTTCTCTATTAATTTTTTACCTCTTTTTTCTCTATTTTCTTTTTCTGAAACTTTTACCAGCAAATGTTGTATTGCATGGATTTATTCTCTGAGATATGTTTTAGTTTTCATCATGGCCTCTTTTTTTCTTTATCTTCTGGTCTTAATATTCAATTGATTTCTTATCTCATTTTTAGTTTCTAAGAGTTTTTTTTTTTTTTTTTTTTTTTTTTTTTTTTTTTTTTTTTTTTTTTTTTTTTTGCTTTTTCATAGCTTTCTGTTCTTGTTTTATGAATATAACATTGTTATTTATTTATTTATTTATTTTAAAGATGATTGGTAAGGGGATTGTAACCCTTAGCTTGGTGTTGTCAGCACCATGCTCAGCCAGTGAGCTAACTGGCCATCCCTATATAGGATCCGAACCTGCAGCCTTGGTGTTATCAGCACCACACTCTCCTGAGTGAGCCACGTGCCGGCCCTTAACATTGTCATTTTTTGAGGATATTAGTGATGGCTTTATTTTGACTGTTTCTTTAGTTTTAATCCATTAAACTATTAAATCTATTAAAATTTTAATCTATTAAAACTATTAACTATTCTGAGTTAACTTTTAATTTTGATTTGAAATCTGTTTCATATTGAATGCCTTTTTTTTTTTTTTAAATGTTCTTTTGCAGGCTCACAAAATTCCCCGTGAGGCAGTAAAAAGCTATTGCAAAACTCTAGGTGTATGGATGGGACTTAGTTCCTGAGAGCTTCCAGGAACTAATTGCTTGCAGGCAATTGTGGAGTGATGCACCAGCCATTTTGTTAGGGGACCTCCAGATGTGAATATGTTGAGGCCTCTTTTCTAGGGTTTTTCCATTTTCTCCAAAGAAAAGACTTCCAGTTTCTTGCCTGGGACCTATCAGCCAGGCTGTGGTAGCAGTGGAGGAGGGGAGTCAAGTTTTTTTTTTTTTTTTTGGAGACTTTTTTACTTAGTAATTTTCTCTTTATCCCTTTGCCTCCCCCTCCTCTGTTATATTTGGGTTTTCCAAGTTCTGTTTTTCTCCCATTCAGTTTCTCCTGTGTCCTGTCACCTGGTTGAACAGTCTGTGCTGTGTGGGATTTGGGGAGGGTGCTGGGCTCTTACTCCTTGAGGAATTTCAAACAGTTCCCTATGGTCAGCCCTGTGCTTCAATCATGTCCACCTCTGAACCTGAATTTCAAGTTTTGAGCCTCTCAGGGTTATGAAGATATCAACCCACTTCCCATCAGCATTCTCTTTTTCAGGCACTTGAGGTTGTAGCCCTCTCCACCCTGCTAAGGTACTTTTTATTCCTTTTCGATCTTCTAAAACTTACTGAAATTTCTCACCTGTTACTGTCACCTCTTTTGTTTTTTCTTTGATTTCTTCATTGTTAATTTAGTGGGATCTCAGGATGAAGAGGAGAAAATTCTGTGATGACTCTTCTTTAACTAGAAGTCCCACATGCGTATTTTAAAATAAATTACCTAATTATATTAGACTTTTGACATTGTATCTTTTCTCTGTAGAATTAACTCTGCAAAAAGTAATATCCAACAATTCAAAAAAGAACAATGCACATAAATTTTAGTCTTTTAAAATACTTATCGATATTATTTGGTTTTACTTTTTATTTTCAAATAACTTAAGACTTATGGAAAACTTGCAAGAATAATATCAGGAATTGTTGTAATTCCTCTACACAGAATCATCAATTCTTTTTTTTTTTTTTTTTTTTTCCTTTTTGTCTTTTTTCGTGACTGGCAACGGATCGCAACCCTCAGTGTCGCACCCGTACCGGACCGGGACCGGCTACGGGATCGCAACCCTCAGTGTTGCCCCCGCGCCTCGCTCAGCCAGTGAGCGGCCGGTCTGTATGTGGGATCCGAACCCTTGGCGGGAGCGCCGCCGCGCTTCCCAAGCGGCGCAGTATCCAGTGCGCCACCGGGCTGGCCCAGAATCATCAATTCTTTGTTAACCTTTCTCTGTCATGACATTAGCATTTTTGAAGGAAGGGTACAGGCAGTTATTTTGTAGACTGTCCCTCAGTATTGATATTAAAATGGTTATAGTTTGGGTAAAGGGCATAAAGAAAAATCACGATTTGTAATAATATGCTAATAATAAATAATATTAAAAAATGAATTAGAAAGTTTAATTTTGTGGTGCAATTCTTTGTTTTCTCCTTGTAGCTTTTAGGAGAGTATGAATCCCTTGGAAAAGAACATGGAAGAATAAAGGTAATGGATGATCGTTCATGTTCTGGATTTTATATAGGGGCAAAAACACTGGATTGGGAATCAAGATCTGATCCATTGTCCTCCTCCTGCATTCTCTCCTTCCTCTACACCATGTAGTTATTTGGGCTAGACCACTTGCTTATCCTCTTTGTGTGGATATCCCTATTTTCAAATATCTGCCCTATTTGACTCACAAGTATGTTAGATTATTTAACGAACCTAACAAATATTTATCGAATAGCTATTCCATTTGAGATGAATTTTTAGAAGAGTTTAAGTTATCATACAGATGCAAACAATTACTTAATATTGTTTAAGTATAAAGTTTTGATTTTCAAAGCATTAGCTTTTTGTAGGGTTGTTGATTATGTTGTTATTGATTATGTTTGAATTCTTAATTAAATCTCTATGTGAGGACTGTGTATTTGAATTCAGTAAAACCCCACAATAATGCTGTGAGTGAGGTCCAGGTATCTCTGTTGCATAAAACACAGGGTTGTGATTATTGAAGGTTAGTGAGATGGCCTGCACAGCTTCTGGGGGATTCAGGAGCGAATCACATTATGTTGGGAATTTCATTATTGAAGGTATTTATTTACCATTCTACTGAGGTTTTAGTCAAGTTTGTGGTTAAAATATGTCCATTTTAATGCTGGGTTGTCTCTAGTTAAGCAAAGCATAATGAGCTATACATGTTACACAGTGGACTTACACAGAGCTGCTTGTATAGGCCCGTGTTTTGTGCTGTCATTTTTCCTTTGAATTATCTGTATTGGCTCTGTGGTTGATTCCATGCTTGCTGAGTATCTGTTTAATTTGTAGCTAGCTGGTTTAGCCTTAGGTTTGTTTTGCATTATGCATTTTATTTTATTTTATTTTTATTATGCATTTTTTAAATAAAAGGATATATCTCTATCTTCAGTTATCTGAGTTTTTTCTTTATTTTCACAGGATACATTAAATACAACTGAGAACAAATTGCTTGATGCACATACTCAGATTTCTGATTTAAAAAGGTAAAAATGTATTATTTTACTAATAAATACCTCTAATTGTTCTTTTATGTGTCTTAGTGAAAGTGATGAAAAGGAAGTTTTTTTTGAGGATTTTTAAACAGTTTGAGAACTAGTTTTATCCTTATCTTCCCCTGATATGGAAATACATCTGATTTTTTTTTTTTTTTTTTCCTTTTTTTCCTTTATGTCTTTTTTACTGACCGGCAACGGGATCGCAACCCTCGGCGTTGTGCCCGCACCACGCTCAGCCAGTGAGCGGGAACCGGTCTCCACATGGGATCCGAACCCTCGGCGGGAGCGCCACTACGCTCCCAAGCGGCGCACCCTCCAGTGCGCCACCGGGCCGGCCCGAAATACATCTGATTTTAGCCAGAGAAAATTTTTAAGTGATTAGAACGTATTGGTGGTTGTGACTCATAGGTGTGCATTTCCCCAAACATTATGTATTTTCTCAGCATAGGTAAAATCTAAATGATATTTATCCATTGTGAAGAATTTTAAGAAGCAGTCTAGTTCACTGATTTCTGTTTGTGCTCCAAGGAGAAAACAGCATTCATGCCAACTTTGTGATCATCTACTTTCTTAAAGACCTGGTTTTTAATACAATATTAATATATCATATATATTAATGATATGATTTGCTTAATTAGGTAGGAACAGAGTCATAAATGGTCCCTATTGCAAATGATTAGAAATATCTAAATTGGTTTTAGAGCATATTTTTGTATTTGTATTTGGATATAAGTAATGCCCCTTATTTATAAATTTTACTGCAGTCTTAAGGTCTTCCTATACAGAAGAACAGAAAAGCTATCTGGGTTTCTCATCTGCCTAATAACTCTTTTCTGTGATTAATTCATTTCTAGTGATAGCTTTCTTATCAGATTGGTCTAAAACATCAGCCTTGTTAGATCTATTCTTTTCTTTTTTATTATTATTATTTTAATTTATCAGTATACAACAATATATAGTTGATTTTCGTGTCCCTTTACCAATTCCACCTTTCCTCCCTCTCAGAGCTATTCTTTTCAAACCTTCCTTGCATCAGTGTAGATAAGAATTTGAGTTTAAATGGTTAGATGAAGACATAAACAAAGCTTAAAAGAACAGTAAGAATGCAGGGATATCCTCAAAACAATTAATTGTCCAGAGTAGTTATTTTCTGTTGGTAAACTTGGAAAGTGGCTTTTATTCTAAATATGGCACAAATTAGATGAACTGCCTATAAGTTGAGAGTTGTTTGTGATTTTTTTTTTTTTTTGCCTCTTTGCCTCTTTTAAAAATTAGAAAGTTTTTTTTAATAGCTCTGTTTTTGGAAGTTAAGCCTGCTTCCTCTTTTGTGAAAGTGTTACCTATACTTTGTGTGCATGAATACATACATGCTAGAATTAAATATGTTAGAATGCAGTTTATTTGATACTTGAATTTACTTTTTAACTTAACTTATATCCTGTATGTTTTGATCTGTAGTCAAATTTATATAACTTTTTCTTTAGGTATGGTATATGAAATGCTCCTTTGTAGAGTTTAATGTATTTGCTTTTTATTTTCCCTGATTTTGTTCAGCTTTTTATAGTTTAATGGTAGTGTTTTACTATGAAAAAGGTTAATGGACAGGCAACTCTTGTCACCCCTTTTCTAGGAGGGTCTGTTAAATAATTAGTAGTTGAGCTATATTTTGAATTTGTCGAAATGTACTTAATTTATCTTATTGCTTTTGAATTAGAACGATTTCAAAACTTGAAGCTCAGGTCAAGCAAGTAGAACACGAAAATATGTTAAGTCTTCGTCATAATTCTAATACTCACATGAGACCTGCACGTGCCAAGTAAGTTATTTCATTTAATCTCTGTAAAGGTAGAAGTAGATGTACACTTCTATTAAAATGAGGAGCTCATCTCTCTAAATCATAAGGTCAGAGTTAAATGCTATTATAAAAGTTAGATGTGTAAAAAAAAAAAAAATGTATTGAATATAGTAAATGCTCTCATGCAGAGGCTTTTGCCAAAATGAGGAAATAGAATCAGGTTGGGAGTAAGGAAACTTGGAATGTATTTTGTTCTTTGACTCTGCCCAGCTGTGTCTTATTTTTTTTGGAGCTCAGTTTTATGATTTGTAAAAACAAGGACACTGGGCTAGAACATCTCAAAAGGTCTTTAAATCTAAAATTCCGGACATTTTATCCCCATGTTAATGGAAAGACCTATGAAGATGGGTCTTCATTAGGTTGTATGGGTTTTTCTTTTCAGTTTTTTTAGTTCTGAAAGAATTAACTTTGCTATAATCTCAGAGCATTATCTTGATGATACATTTCAAGAATAAGTTTTTTTCATATTAGAACTGATTTTTATTATGATTTTGATGTAAATAAAGATTAAGTAGATGATAAACTCACAGTTTTGATGATCAGAAATTATTTTAAATTGTAATTTTTAACATTTCTAAGTTGTAATTGTCAAATGAGAAACTTTTTCTAGATCTTTGTTAATAAATCTTAGTAGAACATAATGAATTCTTTAAATAAAAAATTATCTAAGTAACTCAAATTGAATGTGTGAGAGAGAACAAAGGAGGGGCCTAAGGTTGGGGGGGTCAGGGAAGGCCTTTCTGTGCAGGTAACATGGAAGCAGAGAAGTAAACTGTGTGTAGAGTTGTTGGAGCGGGAAGCGTGGAGGGGTGAGAGATGGGGATGGGTTCAGGCAGAGAAATTAGCCTTCCTGAGTACTGAGGTAGGAAAGAGCTTAGCATGTTTGAAGAACCTAGGAGGGGCTAGTGTGGCCTGAATATTCCCAGCAAGAGGTAAAGTAGCCCTGAATGAAATAATAGATTGATCACACATAGTTTCCTAAGCCATGGTCAAGAGTTTGGATTTTACTCTGTTCATTGGGAAGGCTTTTGAAGGGTTTTCTATGGTAAAACTATGTCACCCGATTTTTACTTTTTAAACATACCTCCCATGAGGAGAAGATGGAGAAGAAAAGAGTGGTAGCAGGGATGTTAGTTAGGTCATTGCAGTGCTAGAAGAGAGATGGTGTTATATGAATGATAGCCATAGAAATGGACAAGAGAGAAGGATTGGGGAGAGATACTAGAGGTGGAATCCATAGAACATGGTGTGAATTGGATGGCAAAGTGAGAAAAGGAGGTGTCAGAATGACTCCTTGTTTTCTGTCTTGAACAACTAAAGGAGCCATATGTTGAACTAGGGAAGAGACCAGATTTCCATCTTGAATATTTTTTTTTTTTTTTTTTTGTCTTTTGTCTTTTTCCGTGTCCGGCAACGGATCGCAACCCTCAGTGTTGCCCCCGTACCGGACCGGGGACCGGCAACGGGATTGCAACCCTCGGCGTCGCTCCTGCGCCTCGCTCAGCCAGTGAGCGGGAACCGGTCTGCATGTGGGATCCGAACCCTCGGGCGGGAGTGCCGCCGCGCTTCCCAAGCGGCGCACTATCCAGTGCGCCACCGGGCCGGCCCCAATCTTGAATATTTTTGTTTGAGATTCATGTGGATTCCATGTGTAAATCAAGTGGACAATTATAAACTTGAGTTTGAAGCTCAGAAATAAGGTCTTAGGCTGGAGCTATAAATTTTGGAGTCATCTATTTCTTTTTTTTTTTTTTTAAGATGACCGGTAAGGGGATCTCAACCCTTGGCTTGGTGTTGTCAGCACCACGCTCAGCCAGTGAGCAAACTGGCCATCCCTATATAGGATCCGAACCCGCGGCCTTGGTGTTATCAGCACCGCACTCTACCGAGTGAGCCACGGGCCGGCCCTGGAGTCATCTATTTCTAGACCACTTAAAGCTTAAAGCTATAAGATGGATGGTAATTGAATGTGTTCAGTGAGAAGTGGGTCTAGGACAAAGCTCTGAAGAACCCCAACAATTCGATGTTGGTTAGAGAAGGAGTTGGCAAATGAATCTGAGAAAGAGCTGCTAGAAAACTAGGAGGAAACTGAAGCAGCCACACTCATCAGTATGAGTGCTGCTGAGAGGTCAAGTAAGATGAAGACTGGAAGAGTCTATTGGATTTACAAGCTGGAGGCTATTGATGACTTAGAGAACAGCTTGGATAGAGTGATAGAAATGTATTGAAGAATGAATGAAAACAGCCTAAATGTCTAACAGCTGGAAAATCAATACATTGCGATATTCTTATGCATGACTCTACCAGCCTGACAGTACATGAAGTAGAGTAGGAGATGACAAACTGCAGCCTGGGACCAAATCCAGCCTAATCTGCCTGTTTTTGTAAGGCCCAAGAAGAATGGTTTCTACGTTTTAAAATGTTTGGGGAAAAAATAAATCAAAGAAAAATATTTTGTGACATGTGAAAATTGTATGAAATTCAAATTTCAGTGTCCATAATTAAAGTTTTATTGGAACACAAGCAAGCTTATTCATATATGTATTGTCTGTGGCTGCTTTTGCATAACAACAGTTAAGTGGTTGCTATGGACACTGGCCCATAAAAACTAAAATATATACTATCTGGCCCTTTACAGAAAAGATTTGCCAGCTCCTGACTAGACTGTCAACATGGATTAATCTTAACATGATATGGAACAACGACAAACTAGTTGCAGAAGGAATAGGATACTATTTATATCAACTCTAGCATGTAAAACAGTTTTACGTATCTTATGGGTTCATACAAATATAGCAACAGTATAAAAACACGCATGGGAATGCTGAACACAAACTTAGTATAAGTGGTTACTTTTGGGGAGGGAAGAATGAGATTGGGGACTTTAGTTGTATCTGTAGTATTCCACTCTTTAAAAATCTAAAGGATATATAACAAAGAATCAAGATTTTATAAAGCTGGATGGTTGTGCATGAGTATTACCTGTAAGTATGTTTATGCGTGCTTGAAGTATTTTATATTTTTAAAGTAAATTGCAACCAATAAAGGATGAGTATCCAGGATACAGAAGACCTCTTACAAATCAATAAGAAAAAGACAACCTCTTCAGAAACATGTTGAGTGAAATAAGCAAAGCACAGAGAGAAAAATACCACATGTCCTCACTTATAAATGGGAGCTAAGAGAGAAAGAAAGAAAGACCACAGTGGTGCATTGGACTTGCTGAGGGAGAGTATACCTAGAGATACAAAGTGGAGTGGGGAAAGGGGAAGGGAGAGGGAAGTGGGGGATTAATTGGGTGGGGGACACACGGGGTATGATCACAATTTATGGTAATGGGCATGCTGCCTGTATTGATCTGGCCATCACATCTAGGGCACAAGTGGTGATGGTCAGCTTTGTACCCCATGAATATTCATAACCAATAAAAAAAAAAGTTAAATAAAATATAAAAAAAAGAAAGAAAAAGATAACCTCCTTAATAGAAAAATGATAAAAGAATACAAATAAGCAGTTCTCAGAAAAACAAACCTAAATGGCTAGTAAAAATGGAAAGATGCTCATTGTCATGAGTAACAAGAAAAATGCAAATAAAAACAATAGGATACCATTCACACTATCAAACAGGTCAGAACCTAAAATCTGATCATTTTGTAGCTTTGGCAAAGGTATGAAGAAATAAGAGTGCTGAAGCTAATTGTTGACTGAAACTTAGCACAACTGAAGATGTGCACACCCCAAATTCCACAGTTTCATTTTTAGATATTTACCTTAGAGGAATTCTTACACATGTTAATTTTAGCATTGTCGAAAGGTGATATATAAAAAACTAACATCCACCACCAGGAGAAATGATAAGTCATTTGTGATATATTTATAGTGTGGATAAATGATTAAAATGATAGAGCTGTATGTATTAACATTATGTTTGAGATTTATCCATGTTGACTAGAAAAAGCAGCATTAAAAGGATGCGTGCATTTAGCCCTTTATGTAATAAAAAATACAACTATTTGTAAAATTTTATGTCTTACTAAAAACAAATATGGCAAGATCTTAGCATTTGTTAAAACTGGGAATGGGTAAGTGGGTGCTTGTTATATAGTATCCTTTATACTTTTCTAAGAAGGTTTGAAGTATTTCTTAATTTAAAAAATGAGGAAAAGTGACTGGGAGTTGAAGTAAAAATAGATAAAAGAGGCAGCTCTTAAAAAGTTCAGTTGAGGGCCGAGCCCTTGGCGCACTCGGGAGAGTGCGGCGCTGGGAGCGCAGCAGCGCTCCCGCTGTGGGTTCAGATCCTATATAGGGATGGCCAGTGCGCTCACAGTGCTCACTGGCTGAGTGCAGTGCGGCCGGTCTCAAAAAGGACAAAAAAAAAAAAACAGTTCAGTTGAGAAAGGGAGCTAAGAGAAAGACGACATATCTCATGGTTTGCCTCGTGGCTTCTATTTTCTCTTTTGAAGTTTAGTTGGAGGTTATCACCTGACAGTGAAGACCAGAACAAGAGGTTTGAGGAGAGTGGAGAGGGTGTAAGATAATTGTATCAGTGACTTGAGCTCATTGATTATGGAAAGGTGTGTTGCCAACAAGTGTTGGGTGGCTGCGTGAGAGGGTGTTGATGTGTCTACACAGGTGGTGACTCTGCTCTGGCAATGTGCAGCTGGAGGAGTTTAGACCAGCCAGGCTTAGGGGCTTGCTGCCTATCAGCTGAGAGGAAAGGAGGTCAAGGCAATGAGCAATTATCATGAGTGTGGACTCCAGTGTAGATAAAGAGGAACTGGTAAAGTTAGGGGGGTTGATGGATGGAAAATGGTGAGGCCAAGGGCTAGCGGCCTGCGGTCAGATTGCTGTGGTAGTGCTTGGGCACGGGAGCCTGAAGAGAGGAGAGGAATCTTCAGAGGATTGGTTCTCTACAGGGGATGTGTTGTCTGGTGATGACAGAGTCCAGCAGTGTCCTCTGCGGTGGATGATTGAGCATGAGTTGGCGACAGCTCATGAAGTTGCCTGGCATGAGGGCGGGAGAAGGTGTGAAGAAATGAGAAGGCTTCTGAAGTCCAGTGAGTGGCCAGAGGGCTAATGTGCGGCAGTGTGAGCCTCAGACAAGCAGGATTTCCATAGAAACATGGGGGAAGCAATATTCTGGAACTGCGTTCTTCAGAACAGTCATACCAGAGGCCACATGCAATTATTAAAGTTAAATAACATTTTTGAATTGGTTCTTCAGTCTCACTAGCAACATGTGACTTGTGGCTGCTGTATTGGACAGTGCAGATAGGGAGAGTTTCTGGCTTTGCAGGAAATTCTGTTGGATAGGGCTGGTCTGAAGGGAACAAGAACAGCCCTTCTTCCCCTCCTCACCTGAGCTATAGGGGTGTGAAGGGCAGTAGTAGGTGGCCTGGGTGGGACAAGGAGGGCAAGCTCAAAGCTGTGAGTACTCGAATCTTGACTGAAATTTGGGAATATTCATAAGTAATAAAAACCTAAAGTAACAGTTTAATTGAATCTTCATACTGTAAAATAGAGTTCATGTATCCGAAATATGCATTGGTATATGTGGTTTTTAAGTTACTGTGCAAATATGTAAATACTACTTGAAAGGCTGTTTTGTACACATGTGCAGTCTCAGTTGAAGTGCAAACCTTGCAGTGCCTCCTGCTTCTCGTTCCGATAGCACGCTAGCAACTTCAGATGTCAGCAGGCGGAAGTGGCTGATACCAGGTGCAGAGTATTCTATCTTTACTGGCCAGCCTTTGGACATCCAGGACAGTAAAGTGGATAACAAGCTGGAGGAAACCTGTGTTCCTGGGTAAGATACTCTGGCAAGGGTCCCATTTATGAATGTTATGTTTTCTTAGAGATTGCCGTTGCTTTTAAATGTTCAGAGAGGTATAAAGAGCCATCTCTTTAGTTCTTTACTGTCTTAATGTTGAGGACCTGATTTTTATTTTACTTTGAAAAGCTAATTCTTTTAGGATATTTTACTCTCATGGGCTCTGCAGAGCTCGCTCATCTGTGCAGTGGCACAGTGTGGACTTGCAGTTAGGACAAGATGTTGATCCCCTCACCCTCCAGATCGCCTGAGCCCCCAGTAGCAGCCTCCGCCATGTAACTCCAACTGCCATACAAAATAGTATAATTCTGTATGTGCTAGATGTTAAAAGGCTTTGGAAGCACTGGTTTATTATATGCAGGTTCTGTTTTAATTTATTTGCATCGTAAAGCATGCACATTCATGTGGAGTGTAATTGTCAACTCTCACGTTACTCTCTCCTACCAATCCCAGTAAACTATGTGTTTTAGTTTGGGCTACTGTAACAAGTTACTACAGACTGGGTAGCTTAAACAGCAAAGACTTAGTTCTCCAGTTCTGGACATGGGAAGTGCAAGATCAGGGTGAGTTCTTGGTGAGGATTCTCTTCCTGGTTATGTCTTCACATGGCCTTTCCTTGGTGTGTGTGTATAGAGAGAGAGCTCTCATGTTTCTTCTTCTTTGTATAAGGGCATTCATTCCATCAGTGGGGTCTCACTCTCATGACCTCATCTAACCCTAATTACCCCCTCCCCCAAAGGCCCCACCTCTAAATACTATCACATTGAAGATTGGAGCTTCAACATATATGTTTGGGGGACACAAACTTTTGGTCCATCGCACTGTATGTGTTACAATTATTATTTAAGGTACCATTCTCCTCCGGAAAAGGATTCTTCACTTGGAAGTTCACCAACAAGCTTACTGATTAAAAAACAGAGAGAGACTTCAGACACACCAATCATGAAAGCTTTAAAAGAACTTGATGAAGAAAAAATATTTAAAAATTGGGGGACACAGACAGAGAAAGAAGACACCTCAAGTAGTAAGTATTCCTTGTTTGATATCAACAAATACAGATTTCTTCCTTTTTCCCCCCACTTATATTACCTTCTTTAAAATTAAATTCCTTAGGTAATAAAATAAAAAGTTTATTTTACTGCTGCTTCAGCCTGATTTCATAGACATTTGAATCCCCAAGTTAATAATTTATCACAGTCCTAGCATAACATGTACCTTTTATGCAAAGCAAATTGCATATCACATCTGATTATTAAAAATGCTTATATGGCATTCTTTTTTTTTTTGAAAAGATGACCGGTAAGGGGATCTCAACCCTTGGCTTGGTGTTGTCAGCACCACGCTCAGCCAGTGAGCAAACCGGCCATCCCTATATAGGATCCGAACCCGGGGCCTTGGTGTTATTAGCACCGCACTCTACCGAGTGAGCCACGGGCCGGCCCTTATATGGCATTCTTTTTTTTTTTGAAAAGATGACCGGTAAGGGGATCTCAACCCTTGGCTTGGTGTTGTCAGCACCACGCTCAGCCAGTGAGCAAACCGGCCATCCCTATATAGGATCCGAACCCGGGGCCTTGGTGTTATTAGCACCGCACTCTACCGAGTGAGCCACGGGCCGGCCCTTATATGGCATTCTTGATATTAGAAAACTTCCTACATCAGTTTGTCTTAACGTCAGAAAGTTATGACAGACATTTTGTATTCATAAAGTGAAGTGTAACATTTCCTATTCTCTTTCTTGGTTATTGAACATCTATAGAAAAGACAAGTATCTTTAATGCTGTATTTTTTCATAGGTCCAGGTCAACAATACTTTTCTCTTTTACTTTCTGCGGTGCCTACTTGTTCAGACCTGTTAGTCATTATCATCAACATCTTTGGTGTTGCATCTCCAAAGCAGTCTCTCCTAGTAAATAAATAAGTAACCTGCTTTCTAAAAATACTCTCTCTTAAAAAATCACCTTGAATACCAATTGTAGGCAGGAAACCAGAATCAATTCATTATAAACTCCCACATTTTTCTTCAAGCATTTTTTTATCATTAGAATGTGATGTGTTTGCAAATAATCATTATAACCTAGATAGTAAGAAGAAATGCTTTGAGCAGAACATAAATTAAGTGGAAGAACTTATAAAGGCAGATAACTGAAGCTAGGTTTGTCTTAATTTTTTTTTAAAAATATATTTGATATAGAATTAGTGAATCCTCGGCAAAGTGAAGCTTCAGTCAATGCAAGTCGTTCTCCAGAGAAATGTGCGCAACAGAGACAAAAGAGACTTAATTCTGCCTCACAGAGATCATCATCTTTACCACCTTCAAATCGTAAATCAAATACTTCAAGTAAGAGTTAGATGTGTATCTGTTGTGCTCAAAAAGAGTACGTCAGAGCGGTGCACACTGTTTGACTGTTTCCTGTTTCTTTTGTATTCTCTTCAGTGCTTAGTAGAGTGTTCTGAGCACGGGATCCCTAAATATGATCTTGTTCAATAAATAAAATTGTCTGATTGCACAGATACACTGTGATTATAACTGAAGAAATTTCAGTTTATTAAAGTGAGATTTTTTGGTGTGTCCAGTAAATTGTTTGTAGCTAATACCACCTCATAGTTTTTGGGATAGTAGACAGCTATCTAATTAAACATTAATTCAAACAAATTTAATTCAAGCTAGTCTGAAAAGAGAAGATGCTTCTTATATATTTGACCTCAGTTACTCAGCATTAGATATCTTTTTTCTTTAGCCAGTTACAGGTTTGGTTTTAAAGTTTAAGCATTGAATTTCTGTGTCCTTGATTTCCATTTTCACAACAGCTGAGGAGATTCTTGTATTACTGTGTTATAGGAATGTTCACTATTTTACTGTTGTTTCCGTCTTATTTCCAGTTGACTTCTAAAATCCTGAAAAACCAGTTTTTGAGTCAGAGTGCTGAAGCTACAGTCTGATATACTAAAATGTTAACAGTGGTTACCTCTAGATAGTAGGATTATGAATTATTTTATTTTTATTTTGTATATTCTTATCTCTCAAAGTTTTACAATGAAATTGTATTCCCCTTAAAATTAGAAAAAAAAAAAAAGAAAAAGAAACTATGTTCTGCCAATATAACATATATAAAAAGACAAAAAATGTTTCTGTTTTCTTATATAGCAAAAAGAGAGATTATGTTAACACCAGTGACTGTGGCTTATAGTCCAAAGCGATCTCCTAAAGAAAATTTGTCCCCAGGATTTAGTCATCTACTTAGCAAAAATGAAAGTAGTCCAATTCAGTAAGTATTCTAAAATTGTAGAATAAAATACATATATTTTTTTAATGTTGACTTATGCCTGTAGCTATCACTAATTTTTCAGTCATCAATGGGAACTCTGTGGATTTAAATAATTTAAATGAAAGTCATACTAAAAATAAAGTACTACAATACATGAAAACAGTTTTTAACAATGTAAACTTACTACTAGATTTTATGTACCTCCTCAGCACCCCATCCAGCTTATGGATGTAGAATGAGAGTTCTTTGCCTTCCTGAAAAGTTTTATGATACAGGGAAACCTTTGTGTCATTTGTACAAGGTGGGCTGTCCTGGTATGGTCCTGGCACTAAATGCAAGTTTACCTGTGCTCCTGAGAAAATTGTTTTCTCTCTAAAGTGTGGGCAGCAGTGTGTGCTGTGGTGGGAAGGATGTTGACTCCTGGTTATAGACCCAGTTCTGGTAGGCCCCTGGGGAGATAACTTAAGCACATTGAACCTCAGTTTCCTCTTCTATAAAACGGGGATAATAATACCTGCCCTGCTTATATCATAAAGTTGTTATAAAGATCAAATGAGATAATAAATGGGTAAGTGCTTTAAGTCTCTAGTATGTAAATATAATTTTGTGTTAGAAAATAGTAATTAAATTTCAGTTTTAGAAAATTATGACCAGCTTTCTTTTAAGAAAAAATGTAAATATGTGAGTTAACTGGTGCCAGCTCATTTTTCTAGTGGAGATAGAGCAAATCAGTTAACATTTTTTTTCTCACAAGTAACTTGCTTCATTCAATAGATTTGATATACTTTTGGATGATTTAGATACTGTTCCTGTGTCTACATTACAACGTACCATTCCAAGAAAACAACTCCAGTTTCTTCCTCTAGATGACTCGGAAGGTATCTTTTCCTAAAAAATTATTAGTTATGGTTTTAGTCATTAATGGTCATTTTTGAGATTCTGGTATCTTTTCAAGGTTCTAAATATTATCTTATAGTGTCTTGCACTTAAATATTTTTCCACTCTAGTGCCTCTAAAAATAAGCATTCATAATGCTTCATATTGTTAAGTCATTGTTGTTATCCTCATTGTAAAGTTGGGAAACTGAGGTACAGGGAATGTTAATGTTTCATTACCAGGGCCATACTGTTCAGTTATTCTCTTTACTTTTATACTCTATAATTTATATGCAACTTAGGCTTTGGGTAATTTTTTTTTCTCATTTCTATTTTAAGTTTGGAATAAAGTTATAAAATATATGCGAAATCACTTGGGCAGGCCCTCAAACGTTAACTGTTTAGTGTTGGTGTATTCCTCACTAAATATGATGTGGTGTTTAGTTTTTAACCTTTTTTTTTTTTTTTTTGCTTTAAATTTACTTAAAGTTCGCTTATGTTTACATAAAGTTTGCTTAAGTTCATTTAGGGAAGCCGTGAAGATTGCTAAACTGAGAGCAAAGCTTTTAGAATTCTTTGGAGAAAAAGCACTGAGTAAATATGATCGATTATTCTGTCTCTTTGCATTACTTACTTTGACCATATAACAGCCATTTCCAGAAAGTAAAGTTGGATACGTATTTAATATGCATGTGATCAGTTGGAAAAACTGATAAGAAATATAAGAAATTTCTTTCCTCTCTGACAGAAAAAAAATATTCAGAAAAAGCTGCTGACAACCATGTTAATCATAGCTCTTGCCCCGAACCGATGCCAAATGGAATGAAGAAAGTATCTGTGAGACCAGTCTGGGAGAAGAATACGTCAGTTAGCTGTGAACAGTGTAAGCCAGTTTCAGTGACACCACAGGGTAATGATTTTGAATATACAGCAAAAATAAGGACCCTAGCTGAAACAGAGCGATTTTTTGATGAACTTACAAAAGAAAAGGACCAGGTAAAAACAAAAATATTTTTAAAAATCTTTTTCTGAACTAGGAAAGTCAGAATTGTTGAGTTAAACCTGTCTTGAGAGATTACCGTGGAGTACCATACCAAAGCTGCATTAGAAATTTATTTGAGCCATGCTGTTGTTACTAACTGATGACAGAGTGAACTATGTAAGATAAAATGGTCAAGAAAATATTAGGCTGAAATATTTTCTTTCTACTTTATGTGATAATCCTCCTTTCCACTAATTAGAATTCTTCTATTTTTACTTAACACATTTTTCTGTGTTTACAGATTGAGGCAGCACTAAGTCGAATGCCTTCTCCTGGAGGACGAATCACTTTACAGACAAGATTAAATCAGGTGAAATGTCTTAGCTTGAATCTGCTTTAGAGGCTTGATGCCGGTCAATGTTCCATTTTTCCAAGAGGAGTTTTTAAAATCGTGGCACACTGAAAGTTAGACACACCAAAGAAGCAGTCACAACTTTTAGTCTTTATAGCAAGTGTTTGGTGATTATGGCTGTTTTATAACTGCATGCTAGCTTTGAAGAATAAAAACTGATTTTACCTTTAGACTTCTGAGAAAAAGGTGTTCATGCCATTATATTTTCAAGAAATGAATTTGGGAGCAAATAACAATATGCCTTTTAACAAATTTTACATTAAGTTAAATGCTCCCACATTAAATCTCCCTCATTGTTTGGTTCCCCCCAATCTGTAGTTTAAATCTGAACTGCTTTCTATTTAGTAAACGTGTAATATGATTTCACTTTGCAACTGGAGTAGCTATAGTGGTTAAAAGAGAGAGAGAGAAATGTGATTCCATTATCCAGCAGGAGGTGGTGCAGGCGTTGTAGCCCATGTGCATTTCTTTTAGTTGCTTTTCAAAGAGAATTAAAATGCATGAAACCATGGAACATTTTAAATCTGCTCTTTTAGTAACATTTTAAGCATGACAGCAAATATATATCTCTTACATAACTGCATGTTTTGGCTTTTCAGTGCCTTAACTTTAGTAAAAGATCCTTTTCAGACTGATCTGTGATACCAGAAAGACACAAAGAAAACAGCAGAGGTCTTTTTCTAGGGACTGTATCTCTAACTTCTGTTTTACTCTGACTTTAAGTTTTTTTATTGTTTTTGTTCTGAATTTTTATTCAATAATTTATTAGGCTCAATTAACTGATGAAACTTCTTAAAATTGTTTACTAGGTAACTAGAAGGAAAATTTTGATACTCTGATTTTAAATCAATCTGAAATACTTAATATATTTTTATATAATGAATATTATAAGTTCTTTCTGGCTCTTAAAATAAGATGAAAGGGCATTAGTTTTGTTCATATAAGTCAAAGCTGTTTCAATCCAGTAAGAAGACAAATGGCAGCAAAATGGGGCTGAGTATGCTCCTACATGATTCATAAGTGAAACAGTAAAATGGCAAAAAACGACAAAAAATGTTCAGCCTCACTAATGAATACAAACGATATGCATTTTAAACAAAGGTAACACCTTTTTTTAAATGGTCATTTTGGCAGGTATTTTTTTTTAAAATGGGGGTGGGGGTTAAAAAATAAAAAACACTTCTCAGGATGGAGAAAAGCTTATTCTCATACACTGCGGGTAGAAGAAGAAATTGTCACAAACTTTCTGGGTTACAACCTGACATATATCCAAAGCCTTAGAATTTTGCATTTCTTTGGACCTAGTGTTTTTACTTCTGTGAATGATTCCTAAGGCAATACTTAGAGATACGTGCAGAGAGATACATTTAAGAAATTTATTGCATCCTTACTTATGAAATTTGAAATTAGAGGTGACCTAAATTTCTACTAAAAGATTCTTGGTTAAATGTTATACCTGATGGAATATTGTACATTAATTCAAAAAGATGTTGTAGAAGGATATTTCATGACATGAATGATTCCATTTTTATTCTTTTTTAAAAAGTACTTTTTAAAAATCATTTTATGCAGAAAAAATAGGAAAGAGAAACAGTGGTTATTTCTTTTTGCTCATTTGTCTTCTAAATATTCTATAGTGAACATATAATCCTTTTATACTTAAAGTTGTTAAAGTTAAAAATTTTAAGTGTTATTTAGGACACCATTAGATGTTAAAGTACCTGAATGATAAATATATATTCTAAGTACTATTTAACAATAGTGTTATTTATTTAAAAATAGCAGTTACATCAATTCATTGTGAAATCTATTGCTTTTTTTTTTGCAAAAGTCTCCTTCAGTGTTTTCTTCCTTTTTAACTTAGAAATTTTTATCAGCAGAAAGTTATTTGATGTATATATAAGTTGGATACAGCACCGGTCAGATGTGTCCTTTTCTTCTGGTGAAATGTGTAAATCGCCTTCTAGGTTCCTCTTACTGTTCTCAGTTCAGTGGGTCCAAGAATTATCCCCCTTCTAGTTGGTTGTATTGCTGTAACTTGAATTTCCATATACTCAATGTGCGAAACATATTGACAATATTTTAAAGTGCAGCAGTTATTTTGAATGGTTGAAAAGCTGATTCACATTGTCCAGTTTAAAAGGAATAATATAAATAAGATGATTTGTGTAGAAAACAAAATAACTATCTGTAATTTTAATTTTTTTTTGCTAAAAGAGAGGTCCGTTTGGTGCTAATTATGGAAACAGTGAACTTGATGTAAATTCTAATTAAACTTTTCCATTATTTTCACCTAGGAAGCCTTGGAAGATCGTTTGGAAAGGATTAATCGGGAATTGGGTTCAGTTCGCATGACACTAAAGAAATTCCATGTTTTGCGCACTTCTGCAAATCTTTGAGATTTGTAGCCATTAAATTTTGAGACGTTGTTTGCACCAATGTATAATTATGCACTCAGAAAAGGCAAACTATTTTGTACTGTTTATAAGCCTTCAAACAGTAGTTTTACAATCCTGCTATTCTCACACTTGCTATTTTATACTTCAAATGGCCACATATTTTCAAGATATTTTTGTTATACTCAGGAATCTATTGTATATTTTACTATTTAAAAAGTACTATTTTTAAGTAGTATATGTCTCCAATTTATATCAAGAATAAGGAAAAGTAAACAAGGAGGCAGCTTGTTTCTAAACAAATAGCGTTATCCTTTTACAGTTAACTTTGCACACTAATTTTATAAACTTGTTCCACATTGTAAATATTTTTTTTAAATAAATGTTTAACAACAGCTTTCATAATGATAGACTAATACGTGCTAAATACAAAAACAATTACAGCAAACCTTGGATTTCAGTCGTTGAGGTTTTTAAAAATGTTGATGTAATTCCTCTCTGAAACATGTCTTAAGAGCAAATATGAGAATAGTAATAATGGACTATTGGAAAGCTTTGAAAACTACATAAATATAACTCATTTTGTTTCCCTTTGACTTTGTTCATAAGGAAAGAAAAAAAATGAGAGGGATGTAATTCTCTAATTTTGTCTTGTATGTAGTTCTTTCAAAAAGTTAAACAATTGGAGAGCTGTGATTCTCTGCTAATCATTCTGAATGTAACTTGTGTCCCACCCTGGACAATAAATAAATAGATAAAGTTTTGATGAAATGCAGGCCCTACCATCCAGTGAGTATTGAGAGAGTAGCCCTGATTTCCTTAATGTACATGGCTTCACCTGTCAGTCAAAGTCATCATTTGGACGTTTTCACCCCTCTCCACCCAGTTCACTCCCTCCAAGCCCCCACCCCTGCCAAGAAGAAATACTTCCATTGTAGGTGCTGTAAGAACATGAGGTTTTAGATCAGAGCAATCTACTCTACTTGTTAATGGACAGGTAGAACCTGGTGCCTCTCACTTGGTCTGGCTAGAGGGCTCCAGCCTACTACTTTGGCAGTACCTCCTCTTTCTTAGACGTAGCATGTGGGCAGAAAGCTTTTCTCTGATCCAGGAGCACTAGTGGGTTTGTACTGGGACTGCTGGTTAAGACCAGGCTGCTTAACCACTCACTTTTTGGTGGTCAGTCAGGATACAGTGCCCACATATCCAAGCTGAGTATGTGTTGATAAACAGACTCATCCAAACTTTAACATTGATTCCCATTGAAAATGCTCAGGTTTTAAATTTTGGTTTGCTTTTGAGCTTTTTCTCCTTATGTGGCTCTTAATAATGTGTAGTGAAGGTGAACCAAGCCAATTCTATTAGGGATCTCAAATGATCTTTGAACACCTTTCCCTAGAGCTTCTTCACCTGGCTGGTCTCCAGGCCTGGGGCCCACAGCCCTGCTGCCTTCTTAGCTTGTGGGAGACCTGTCCGACAGCAACAATTGAACCTTTGCTCCCAACTCCTGCAACCAGTTAAAGAATTCAAGCTAATCAAAATTACTGACCAACAGAATCAAGTGCCTTTATTCTTGATTTTTTCTTTTTTTGTTTTCAGCTTTTTAAAAAAAATCTCCTAGTTGTAGGAAAGAGTTCATTTTAATCAGGTGCCAGTATAGCTTCCAGCAAGACCTAGTAGAGGGATTGACTTTACTGATGATATCCCCTCCTTAATGTGTTCATATATATATGACATTAAAAACTAACTTGAAAATTGTTAGGATATTTTATCGTTTCCTGCTTTTATTACGAAGTCTACAACATTTTTAAGAATAAGAAAATTGCCATTTCAGAAGAGATAATGGTTTTATCTTGCCAAGGAGTTATCTTCTTAGTCGTCTGTATTGGCGTATTCCAAAAAAGGCATTAAGCTCCGTCAAAACATCTCTGTGCCTGTCTCTCAGAAAGCATATGCTTTGATTTTTTGAAGTGTGTAATGGTTTGGAACTATCAGTCACTTATTTAAAATTTTTAAAAATTCTTTGTTCTTCATAGCTGTGAAGAAAGAAACCAAGGAAAATTGTTTCAGTTGTCTTTCCCTTTGGTAATGCTTATCTTATGAACACTCAACTGAAAAATAACCTAAAAGTAGGAAAGGTGGCTATCTTAAATAGCAGCTATTATCCCAGGGAAGTAAACTACAAGGGTACTTCAAACAGTTCACGGAAAAATAGAATTAAAAGATAATATGGAATCTTCCCATGAACTTTTTGAAGTACTCTCCTATTTTTGTTGCCTGGCTGGGGCTGTGCTGTGGGTCAATAAAAAACCCAAGTGAATCTTCCACTTCCGGGAAGTGCCTTTTGAATGCAAACAAAGTTAACTGTCTCTTAATGCTCAGATCTACCCCCTTCCTTTCTCTTACACAGCCTCCCTTTGCAGGAGCTATTCCTGAGGAATAGGGAAATGACCAACTGAAGCAATAGCAGATATGGCTGCAGCAGTAGCACTGGGGCTGTGCACAGCCTGCAAGAGGACGGAAGAGGAGAGACTGGAGCCAGACAGATCTGGGTCACTCACACTCTGGCACAGGCCTGCCTTCCTCAGCTGTAAATGATTAGACCAAATGATAAGAAAATTCCTTAATAGAGATTAGGTAAAGTGTCTGGTGTTTAGTAAGTTCTCAATAAATAGTACATTTCAAATTTATTCTGAGTTAAGTAGCCTTTTGAGGTAGTACTTTCAGACTTTTTAAAAGCAAAAGTCGATTGTGTTCCAAGCAATTGACCTAAAAACAGCCTTGGGTTGACATTTGTTCAGTGGTCTAAGATGATCTCTCTACCCTCGGCAAAAAAAAAAAAAAAAGCTATCTTGGAGTTTAAGCGAGCTTCCCTCTGGTGTGAGGTTGTTTGTTTTTTAATGGCAAAATAAAAAATAGGTAACCTGTCAAGTGTAAATTCAGAAAACATTTTGCTCTTAATAAAATTGGTGATTTGGGGTTATTTGATATCAATATAGGTTGTTTTCCTAAAAGTTATTGCCAGTGTAATCAAAACAATTCATTCAAACACAACAATCACAACAATTCTTTGAACTTGTTAAGACAAGTGAACAGATATGATGGGGGGAGGGGAGAGAGGGAGGTGGGAAAGAGGAATGGGGAAAGGGTCAGGAAAATCAGCTACAATGTATATTGAGAAGTTAAAATTAAAAAAAAAACCAAAAAACTCCTTCAGACATTCCGTGAGTAGACATCTAGAGGTAATGACTTGTGGAATAGAACCATGTGAAGAAAGTGCCTGCCACTGGGCCTTAGAAGATACCTTTGAAGATTATGATTTAGTTTGACAACCAACCAGAAAGTGTTTCCCTTTGTAACCCAAAAAAGCCATATACTTTGCTGAATGCTGTTTAGATTCCGAACCCTGCACCTATATATGTAGTAAAATTAGACATTTTCATCATTTTAGTTTTTAGATGTCTCTCAAAAGCAGTTTTTTTTTTTTTTCCTTTTTTGTCTTTTTTCGTGACCGGTAACGGGATCGCAACCCTAAGTGTCGTGCCCGTACCGCGACCGGCAACGGGATCGCAACCCTCGGTGTCGCGCCCGCACCATGCTCAGCCAGTGAGCGGACTGGTCTGTATATGGGATCTGAACCCTCGGCGGGAGGGCCACCGAGTGCACCACCGGGCCGGCCCTCAAAAGCAGTTTTCACTAAATTTTAATGTGCCGCTTATGCTGTGAGTCTTTAAGAAGCTTTAAAAAATGCACACCTAGAGCCCTTTGGGAATCATAAAGGTAAATCATATTTACCTGTCATGAGAGATCATGTATGATTATGAGATTTGCAGGTCTGATTAAACCGATTATGTTGCACAAGTTTTGTTGGAAAGTTTCCTGCTCTTTCAAGTCAGACTATGATAGTTTAATATAATAAACTACACCAGTATTCTTAGGACCTGTGTTACTAAGGCTTTTCCCGTCTGATTTGTGCTTTATTTCAATAGGCCCCTTGGATACATGAAGAATCAGGCCATAAATTTGCATTTGCCAGACATTACGTACTGTCATCACTATTATTACAGATTTCAAAGAAAATTATGTTTTATTCACACCTAACAATTTCACTGTAAGTGACCAATAATGTGAAAAATTTGCTTCATATAGTGCTGCTGATGGTTAGACAAAGACAAATGCTTATTGCAGTTGTTTTTTAATCTAGTCAAGTAATGAAACTGTAAGCTCTGTGAGAGCAGGGACCATTTCTCCATTCTTGCATATATAGGCACTCAATAAACATTCATGAATATGAACTGTATTCTGGTATTAGTGTATTTATTCATTACCAGTTAACTGTGAGATCTTTTTAATGGTGTTCTTGAAGTTCCAGGCATAGATAAGTCCTTTTTGGAGTTACCTGTTTTCAATACAGTCATCATAGGGTTCAATTGTATGCATCTACTCAGTTCTGACTGGCTTACAGGGCAAAGTGTCTCACTTTGGAGATCTGCATATGCTCCAAAAATCTTTAATAGATCTCTGGCACCTTTTGGTGGAGGGAAGTCGATGGATAAGTATTTGATGGGACATCTTCCCTTGCCTCGGTGTGGTCATCATAAGATAGGTATTTTGAGGCAAGCCACGTAATGACAGCTTTCCTGGCCCATTCTGTCTCAGATTCTGACAGTAACCCAAGGACGTGAGCAGCCTTTTGTAGTCTGGCCCTCTCTGGCTTTATCTGAACCTGCCTTGGATGCTTTCATTTTAGTTTGCACTTGCCCTTGCAGGGGAAGCACTCCATGTCCCTTCTCACCCACATAAGGTGATATTTAGTGCTGGGTCAACTAGCACTAGGTTTTAGGTGTGTCCCGTTTAATTCCATGACTGCAGATTTTGGCAAACAAGTTCATCCTTGCTCAACCTGCATAGACACTTTTCTTTCAAATCTCACCAAGTTCCCTCTTGATCTTTTAACGTAGCAACTGGAGAGACCCATGGTGATGGGATATCAAAATGAAGCTCTTTTTGATCCTCCTCCAGTTCCTTTTTGAGGTAGGGACCACAGCTTCATGCATGCTCCTACCCTCTACCTGTTACTACTCCCACTACGGATGACCAATTTCCGTATTTTTGGCCCGTAGCATATTTGGTGTCTTGAGGAAAGAACTCCTTGATGCCTCTTTCTACAAGTCTCTGGTTTGTAACTGATACAAGCATTCAACATCTAGGTGCAGGCTTCAGTGACGGCCTTTGGCTTGTCCACAATTTTCCAAATGCCCTAGGAAGCCTTACTGCGGTTTGTTCCCCTTGATTTGTCATCTTACTCCTAAGGAACGCCATTTTTAAAAAATGAAGCTATTTAAAGGACCCACAATGACGGCAAGTCCACTCACTCCCAACCTGGAGCGCACTCGGCTCCCCTCGAACAATTAGCGAGTGCGCTGGCGAGCCGGGCGAGGGTGTTAAGGGAGAGGTCGCTCCCCCTCCCCGCCCCCTGGACTCGTATCCAAGGCCTTGAGGGTTCGGGGCCGCTGGAGGGGAGGGTGAGGAACCAGTCGGGCTGCCCAAGTTTGAGGGCTTTCTTCCGGCGGAGGCGGCGGGGACGGGGCCGGGCCCGGGCTCGGCAGGGACGCGCCGCGCCGCTCCCTCGCGCGGCCTCAGGAGGCGCCGCCGCCGCCAGTGAGGGAATG